GACTCAGGAACCCGAGGGGCAGGGCCTGGGCACCTACAGTTTTAAAATATTCTCCTCCAGGTGATCCTGTGCACACCGCCCAGAGCTGGTTTGGCTGCTGATGGAAAGGCTCCTGGGGAGGGAGACGTGAAAGCTGTGGGAGGGGAGGAGAGGGCCCCTGAGAAGGCAGGAGGGGCGGGATGGGAGCCGGAGCCCAGGTGCTGGAACAGTCCCCCAAGGTAAGCAGAAAATGGACGCTGACGAGGGTGGCTTTTTAGACGGGCTGGTGGGAAGATGAGGCGGGGCCTGCTGGCATTTCGCACATTCGTGGCTCAGTTTTACAAGGCGCCTTCTCTGTGTGCTGTCTTCCCCAGCGGGCTTGAGTTCAAGGCAGGGCCTGTCACTGCTTTCTTCACTGATGTATCTTCAGACCTAGCACAGAGTAGATGCTCAAAAAATGTTTGCTGAACAAACACGTAAATGTCACCTTCGATATGACAGGACATCCAAGTGAAGATGTCATTGAAAAAAACTGGAAATACAGGACTGGATTTCAGAGCAAAGACAGGCTAACGGCGAGTCTGGAAGTCTTCTGTTGCAATAGTAGTTGAAGCCTTTCAAAAGGAACAGGCTCACAGAGAGGCAGGGGGGAGAAAGGAACAGGATGTGCCAGACAGAGTCTCCAGGAGCGTAGCTGGGATAGAGCAGAGGAAGGGTGCAAGAAACAGACACCAGAGGGAAAAGAAAAGACACCACAAAGCTGTGTGTCCTCGTTCACTCAGCCTAGGGCTGTTTCTGTGGATTGCAACTCGGTACCTACCCTCCCCACTCCCTGTTTACATGAGGGTGTTCCATCCCACAGTGCAAGCTTCATGGGTATTGGACATCGGGTTTTAGTCCTTAAGAAGGGAAACTTGAAATTCTGAAGGGGTCGAGGAGCGAAGTCAGGTAGAAAGTCTGCGAATATAGGAGCTCGGATTTTACTTCTCCACAGGCTAATTTCACTCGCAGCTTCCGTAGCCCTAGGGTCTCGGGGGTCCCTCCACACACATCTCTGAGGATTATGAGAGCTGACTCACAATGTACATTTAGGCAGCACTTCTGGAAGAACTCTTTTCATTTGACTTGGCTTTAGACTTGGAGCCTGGCTCTAACGTGGAATTAAGGATGATATTGGATTTCAAGTTAGATGCAAAGCGCTTACCAAGCAGCCACTACACCCTGGGGTCTAAGGGAAACAGAACACGGCTGCTATTTGTGTCCATGCTTCAGCTGACGTGGGAGGGGCGACAAAGCTGCGCTTGCTGCCAGGGGAAAGGTGGGCGTGAGAATTGTGGTCAGTGGGGCCACTGACTTTCACAGAAAGGGGCAAAAAACAAGTTCATCGTTTTTGCTTCCAGCAAAAGAATGAGAATATGTGAGCAGAGTGCCTGGGACAGGGACCCTTCTCTCCTTCAGACTTTTTGTGGCCTTCACGTCCTCTCTGATTGATGGACAATTCACTTACCAGGTCCCAGGATTGCAAAGAGGAGCAGCACCCAGATGCAGGAGGCAGGAGATAACTTCCCTCTCCTCATCTTGAAATAATCCACATGGGAGGTTGTTGTCTAGAACGCCTGGGGGCAGAGTGATGCCTGGTGGGCATCCCAGTGGGACCTGAGGTTGCAGGAAGAATGAAAAGAGGTTGCAGGAAGAATGAAAAGAGGTTGCAGGAAGAATGAAAAGAGGTCGCAGGAAGAATGAAAACTGGCCAGGACCAGGGTTCTGGGAGGAGTAGGATCTGCTGGGGGGGTTCCAAGGCAGTAGGGAGCCTGGCACTGGGAAGGTTGGACTCCCAGGTTCCACACGTTGCTCCCACAACATGGGTGGCTTGATTTCTTTTCCCACTTACCCATAGCTGTGGCATTTATAGTTGCTACTGGGCAGGAGACGCCATAACTTCTGGACCCTCCCTCTCCAGGGAGAGGCATCTGCGAGGCCATGCTCCCTGAAATACGGGGAGAGGAGCAGTCGGGGGAGAGAACAGGGGATCAAACCTGTCCCAGGAGAGGAGACCCACGCTTGGGGCCAGAGGTAAACAGAAACCCTCTGGGGATGTCTTATTTCCGGCCTTTGTAGAAGGCAAAGGGGAGAAAAACGAAGACCACTGGGTCCCAGATCACGGGGTCTTCTTCTTGCTGTGCCAGCACCGCTCCAGGGGCAGCTGCGGCAGGGCCGGCACTGTGAGGGGAGGATGGAGGAGGCTGCAGTAAAGACCCTGGCCTGGGACACTGACTGTGAGGCCAGAAGACTCTGGAAGTTCAAGGGGCTGAAAGGGGAGACCTGGACTCCGGAGGAAGGGGCCGGACACCCTCTCACACGGAGCTCAATGACAGTCCGGTCCGTAGGCGGCCTCGGTGACACGGAACCAGGCTCCACTAAGGAGCAAAGTGAAATCGAGGCTTGGAGAAAATAAACTCTCCTGTAGGGGCCCTGTGGGTTTGAACAAGGCACTTCTCTGAGCCTCGGTCTTCTCATCTGTGACACAGGCCTCAGTAGAAAAGAACTCGCAGGATGACCGAGCATTGAGAGACAGACGTCCGCGCAAGCGTCCGTGCTGCCCACTGCCCACGGCGGCGCCAGCGGCTGGCAAAGGGGAGCCTCCAGGGCAGGGGAAGGGCGGACTCAGGGAAGACCCCGATCTCCTGCTCCGGCCCCTCTCCGCCAGGGACAGCAGCCCGGGTCTCAGTCTCGGTGGCATCCCCGGGGCGGGGCGACATGCACTTGAGGAGGGAGCCGATTCCCTCGGCTGGCCGAGCCCCAGAGCTTGTTAAAGGAGCTCCCCCTAGATTTCAAAGTGACAGTTAGCGGGGGAGAGAAGCGGGAGGGAGACGACTGCCCTGCCCAGGGCACACGGGCCGCAGACACAGACCGTCCTGGGACCCCAGACCCTTTGACCTCCGTGCTTTGGTGCCTTGGCAGGGGAGGGGTCGGTCGGGTAGGGTGTTTAAGACTCTTAGGGGCAGAAGTGTTTTTATTTAATTTTGTTTTTTAATTAGGGTCCATCCAGGCTGGGGAAATTCAACAGTTAGAGGCTAGAGTTAGGAGGGGGGTCTCTACATTGCTCCCAGGGCAGAGAGACTCTCCTATTCTGGCAGCTGCCACACGCTGTGTCACCGTCTGCCCAGACAACTAAAAATCAGGCATCTTCCTCCTTTTCTCAAAGGCTCCCCGGCCCTCTTCCGGAACCCAGGTGTCCCTCTTGGCCTCAGGCCTTCTTCAGGGACCTGAGTCCCTCTGGCACCTGGCATGCCTCCTTTCTGGGGCCCAAGCTTCAATCCTTCCCTTACCAAAGCGGGTCTCTGGTGGAAGGTTCAGAGAGACCCCCAGGCCCGTCAGGGCCAGACAGTTCGGTGACATCCATGTCAGGGTTAGGATTACTGACCATGATAGGCTTTCAGCAAATGGTGACCCCCGGCCCGCTGTCTGATTCTGGATGAAATTAAGGTTAAAAGGCCAGTAGCCAACGGGGGTGCCTTTCTGGTCAACCAGAATGTCGTCCTCCTCCAGCAAGAGTCAGAGCCAAGGCTATGGATGATGGGAGGGGTGGGACTGACCAACACTTGGGCACAGAATGGTTTGAGAGTAGGGCTGGTGTCCTAACGTAAATATAGGGCATTGTAGATGCTCATAAAGTTGGGTTTAATTAATTAAGACATTGTTTTATTCTGTATAGTACTACCTTCTAACAACTCTTGTTGAATTATTTAATTTTAATTTTCCTGTATTTGTGTCCCAAGTGAGGACTAAAGGCTTATACTTCTTTATATCATCAACAGAGTGTATGATGGGTGCTTAAAAATATTTGCTTATTGACTGATAGATCTTGTCTTCATTTTGTCACCATGCAAATAAACCTACTATGAACTGAGGCTGGCTCTCATCTAAACCCAGAAATGAGCCATCTCAGCAGCAATGCGAGTTCCACCTCCCCTTCCTCGACCTTCCGAAGAGCTGCAGTCCTGTGCTTCGGCCCCTCCTGCTCAGGATCTTCTGTAAGGTCACGGTCAGAGCCAGAAACAGCAGTCAGGACTTTCTCCCAACATTAGTTCAATAACTATGATGTCCTTATTTTGTAAATATGTTATACTTTATTATAACAGACCAATATACAGAGAAGGAAACTATCTGTCATCCGTCCACTCTCCTTGTCCCCTCGGCTCAATCAGTTATAGGTGAAAAGTCTACAAGAAGTGGAAGAGAAAACCTAGAAGGCACACACAGATGAAATGCCCACAAGGAAGAAATTCGGAATCTGGGCTGAAGGCGTGAGGCGAGAGGATGGGGGCAGGAGACGAGACAGGTGACTCCTACAAGATAAAGCCAGCCTGGCTTTTGATGGAAGAGACAGGAGAATAAATGCTGAGTGGAGACAGCATCAGGGAAGGGTTGGGGTGGGGATCAGTAGATGGGACCGCAGGCCAAACAAAAATCCCCTCCTGGTGTGCCCACCCACAGCCCAGCCAGCCAAAGCAACAGGATGCCCACTGTAGACATCTAGAAAAACTGAGGGATTTAGGAGGAAGAGGGAGGCATCCTGTGGATGAGAGATATTTATGATCTTTTCTAAAGTTTTCCTTTTTCCGGGGAATGGAGAGAGTGGAGATGGAAATAAATTCTCTTTTCTTCCTAGATCCTATTTTATCATTAACGGAAAAAGAAAAAGAAGGCTGAGCATGGTGGCTCACGCCTATAATCCTAGCACTCTGGGAGGCAGGAGGATTGCTTGAGCTCAGGAGTTTGAGACCAGCCTGAGCAAGAAGAAGACCCCGTCTCTACTAAAAATAGACAAAAACTAGCTGGGCAACTGAAAACAGAAAAAATTAGCTGGGCGTGGTGGCGCAGGCCTGTAGTCCCAGCTACTCAAGAGGCTGAGGCAGGAGGATCGCTTGAGCCCAGGAGTTGAGGTTGCTGTGAGCTAGGCTGACGCCATGGCACTCTAGCCCGGGCGACAGAGTGAGACTGTGTCCCAGAAAAAAAAAAAAAAAGAAGGGCAAGGGTCCTGGAAACTCAGACATGAGCTTGTATATACATAAACTCTTAAGTAACAGTGAGCAGAAATAATATAGATTGGTCCTAAAACCCTGAGGCTCTGTCCTCAGTCTCCCCATTGCCCATAAGCCCCACTCACAGTCAGTCCGAGGCCCTGCTTTCCAAGGCTTCTGTCCTTCCCTTAGCCATGCCCCTCCCTGGACTCAGTGTCCCTCATTGGTCCCCATCCCACATGTCCATCAAACAGCTTCTCATTCTCAGACCATCACCTTCAACAGAGAACACTGGCTTGTATTATTCGCACATTCTTCTCTGTCCCCTAAACTTGGGTCCTCCTTGCTTGTCACCTCGTTCCCCAATCAGTTGCAATTAAGAACAGAGGGAAGGGTAAAGCTGCTAACTGTCAGTATTCTCTGCCCTCCCCAGAGTCCAGGAAATAGAACTTATGGGTCCAGTTCCTCATTGAGGAAAGGGGCAGAGTGCCTTCTCCGGGATCATCGTGGGGAAGGGATCTGGCCCCTGCCAAGGGTCTGCTGCTCCATCAGGTAGACTGGGTAGGAATTGGGGCCGCCGTCATCCTCCGGGTCATCGTCCTGGGTGTTCTGGGTCAGTGCATGGCGTGTTCGCATCACGTAAGAGACCTATGATTGGGACGAGAGAGGAGGAATGAGAACCATCTGCCATGCCACCTGCACCTCGGGCCCTTCTCCCTGTCCTCCCTGCCCCTGGGCCTTCGGGTGGCTCCTTTCTCAACATTCCATCCAAACCTTGGTCCTTATTCTAGCCCCAGATCCAACACACCGAGTCTCAAACTCCTTCTCCAATTTCCCCCATCCTATTCTCCTCGTCCTTATATCCCCTATTCTCACATCCCAGACTCTATCTCCACCCCCTAAATTTTCTCTCTTTCACACCCTTTTTTTCTCAACTACAGCTGCAGCTTTTTATATCTGTTCCAACTTTTTATACCCAGTTCTAACTTTTTACATCCCATGTATTTATTTTCTTCCCCTTAGTTTTCACCACTACTCTCCCTTTCTTTTCATCTCCCCAATTCCTTGTCATGTCTCTTTTCCTAGACATTATTCCCTCTAACTCTGACCCCTAAACTCTCTTCAATTCCCTATCCCACAGGAGTTGAGGAGACATTTCCCTGGGGCACCCTGTCCCTTACCAATAAGACCAGGCCAAAGAACACCAGGAGGAGAATCACAGCCACCAGAATCACAATAACTATGGCCCATGCAGGGAATGGATCATTCTCGCCCATCTGTCCAGAATGGAGACCTCCTTGTGACTCATCTTTATTCTGGTATTGATGGCTCTTGTTGCCTGGGGCTTCTGACGTGATGGAACTCAGCTCCATTCTTGATGCAGTGACCGTGAAAGAACCAATGGGCACCTGATGGGTAGCCTCGGTTTTACGTAGATAAGGAGAAGTGGTAGTGATGGAGTTGTCTCCCGTAACTGTGACTGGAGGTCTTATACTCTTTATGACTGCTGTATTTTCTGGGTTTTCTGTAGGTTTTGCTGAGACTGGTGTGGTTTTCCCTACGGTGGATGTGGTCTTCTTTGGGTGTACTGTAGGCTTTTCTGAGGTTTTTCTGTCTTTCTCTGTGGTTAATGGGGTATTTTCTAGGTGTTTTGTGGACTTTTCTGGTAATTGTGTCATCTTCTCATGGGCTGATGTGGTCTTTTCTTCCTGCTCTGTAGGCTTTGTTGAGGGTGTTATGGCCATCCCATTGGCTGATGTCAACTTTTCTGGATGTTGTGTAGTCTTTAGTGGGGATGGTGCGGTCTTCTCGTTGGCTGATGTAACCTTTTCCTCATGTTGTGTGGGCTTTACTGGGGATGGTGTAGTCTTCTCATTGGCTGATGTGGCCTTTTCCTCATGTTGTGTGGGTTTTACTGGGGAAAGTGTGGTCTTGTCATTGGCTAAAGTGGTCTTTTCCCCATGTTGTGTAGGCTTTGCTGAGTATGCTGTGATCTTCTCATTGTTTGATGTAATCTTTTCCTCATGTTGTGTGGGCTTTACTGAGGATGGTGTGTTCTTGTCATTGGCTGATGTGGTCTTTTCTCCATGTTGTGTAGGCTTTGCTGAGTATAGTGTGGTCTTCTCATTGGCTGATGTAATCTTTGCCTCATGTTGTGTGGGCTCTACTGGGGATAGTATGGTCTTGTCATTAGCTGATGTGGTCTTTTCTCCATGTTGTGTGGGCTCTACTGGGGAAGGTGTGGTCTTCTCATTGACTGATGTGGTCTTTTCTCCATATTGTATAGGCTTTGATGAGTATGGTGTGGTCTTCTCATTGGCTGATGTAATCTTTTCCTCATATTGTGTGGGCTTTGCTGAGTACAGTGTGGTCTTCCCATTGGCTAATGTGGTCTTTTCTCCATGTTCTGTAGGCTTTACTAGGGATGGTGTGGTTTTCTCATTGGCTGATGTAATCTTTTCCTCATGTTGTGTAGGCTTTACTGGGGATGGGGTGATCTTGTCATTGGCTGATGTGGTCTTATCTCCATGTTGTGTAGTCTTTGCTGAGTATGGTATAGTCTTCTCATTTGCTGTTGTGGTGTTCTCTCCATGTTGTTTAGGGTTTGCTGAGTATGGTGTGGTCTTCTCATTGTCTGATGTGGTCTTTTCTCCATGTTCTGTAGGATTTGCAGAGGCTCTTGTGGTCTTCTCACTAGCCAGTGTGGTCTCTTTTATGTGTTTTGTAGTTTTTATCTGGAGCTTGTCTGAGGCAACTGTAGTTTTATCTTCAGGTTTTTCTGACTTCTGTGGGGTTCTTATAGCCTTGTATGTTGTTTTTGTGGCTGTTGTGATTTTTTCTGAGGAGGATGTTGTTTTTTTGTTGCTCCCTGAATTGTCTGAGAGGTGGAAAGGAATTGTAGTCTTAGGTGATGTGGTACTTTTATTATGTAAAGTAATGGTGGTGTTTTCCAAAGGTCTTACGGTTGTATCTGAGTTTCTTGTTACCGTTGGTTTTCTTATTGTGGACCTACGACAAGTTGTTTTGCTCTTGGGAGCTGTGGTTAGCTTTTTATCAGAGGAATCTTTATGTGTGGTAGTGGAGTTAGCAAGATCAACAGAACGTTTGTTCCGGGTAATTGGCTCTTTTCCTTGATAGCTGGGGTTTTGTTCCGAAGTGGGAGGAGCTTCATGATCAGCTGTAGGTCTTTTGTGGTCTGTACTTTCGGAATTGTCTATAGGTTTGTGAGTTGGCTCAGAATGGTGTGTGGTGTTGCAGTGGCGTTTTAGCTTCGGGGTTTCTGTAGATTTAGGGAGGTCTGGAGATCTTTGTCCTGAAGGCAGAACAGTGTGGACAGAGAGAGTACCAGAAACAGGGCTTATAGCGAGGTGGAATAAATGATCAGATGTTGGGGATTCACCAGTTTTCTGCCATTCTTGAAATGGAGCAGAACCTATGGAGGGAAGCAGCAAATAAGAAACTTTCCCCATGTTCTTCCCTGACTCCCTGCCTACCTCCCTCTCGAGGAGTCCCTTTTACCCCCAGGTACGCTTCTCCAGCCAGTCTCCTCCGAATACTATGACATCCAGTCCCCATTCTCACCTCCAGCCTCCCCAATTGTTGGGGTATGCCTTCAGCAAGCACCCACCTCCCCCTTCCGCACATCTAGCCTCAGCCCTCCACCTTAGGGCCTTGTGGCTTCAGGGCATTTCCTGATCCCTCCAAGCAGGTAAGATCTTCATCTCAGTGCTCAAAAAAGTCTTTATGAATCACTTTTTCCTGTTACCTTCAACTCCATATCACAGTTATGTGCCCGTCAACCTCCGTTCCCTGCCGTGTCTGTCGAATGGCAAGGTTCGAGAGCGGGTATCGACTGGCATTTTGCTCTGCCAGTGCTCCTTCAGGTTTATGGACTTATGGGATGGAATCCCCTTTCCGTGGCAGAACTGAGTGGAAAGGGAATAAACATTAGAATCGCCATCTTTCCACAGCTCTTTAGCTCCATCCCAGATGTAAGCACATGAGAGACCGAGGCGAGAGCTCTTGCGGAATCCCCGCAGGGATGCACAGTGCACCCGGGTCGCGAGCGAGACGTGTGAGCGGAATGGAGGGTGGGTGGAGGAGGCGGGGGAAGCTTTCACTTAGGCCATGAAGCTTGGCTTGGATGAGGGGAATGATCACCCCACAAGGGCCCCCTCCTCACACACTTCAAGCCGTCTGGGGATGGATAAAGGGGTCTTCCCGAAAGGAAAAGGTCTCTGCTTGGGGGTCGTGAGGGCAGCGAATGAGGCAGCTGGGTCCGGGAGGGACTGCCTGTGTTTAAGGACAGGGTGTGAGGGAAAACACCCCTATCAGTGGACAGATATGGGCCTTAATTCCGTGGGAAAACAACCAGATGGGAACAGAGGAGATGTCTGATATCTGGCCGGGAGAGTGAAAGCCAAGAGATCGCCAGCGAGCGAGAGAGATAGTGTTGTTGCAGCACGGAGGTTTCCAGCCTCTGTTAGCCCAGGGCGGCGACCAGAAGCTGGGCCCGCTCCAAATCGCGGGAAACCACAATCCGCCCACCTGCCTGCGGACAAGGACAATCGGGGCCGGGGAGCTCAGTCCTTGAAAGAAATGTGGGTGGGACAAGAAGTGGCCGAGGGCAATAGAGAAGCCCGAGTCCCGAAGGGAACCGAGGCTGGGGAGAGGAGAGCTGAACTATCCGGCCCTCGCTCCGCTGTGCCCAGTCCACGCCCGGTGCCCGGGCAGCAGCGCTGGTAACAGCCATTGACCGGGCACCTTCTCCGGGCCTGGCGCCTGGCTGCTCGCCTCACGGACGTTCTCCTTCTGGATTCTCCTCTGTGGTGATTGCTCTCCCGACTCCCCTCGGGGCTCCCTAGAAGCTGTCAGCCGCCTCTGTTTTACATCTGAGAAACTGGAATTTCATGGAGGAAAAGTGACTTGTACACAGTCCCACAGCGATAGCAACAGCCAAGCTTTCTTGAGCACTCACTATGAGACAGGCAGGTCCCACGAGTGAGGACTTACGTTAA